CTCGATGGACCAGTCTGAGCTGCAGAAGGACAAGGAGGACCGTTATCTTCTTTGTTTTTTAACAGAAACAGGATAAAAACCAACAGCTTTCCACACTGATGCAGAAATATGCTTTGGACTGTTGGACAAGAAGAGTACGGAAGACCTGAGAAGCACACGGGTAAAAAAAACTGTGGATTTAGATTTTAAGGTTTCTTTTTTTTTTTCTCGCCAGCACAATGTGTTTGCATTGTGTTTTTGTAAAAAATACAGACTTATAAATCTAAACTCTTCCTTTTTTTTCTCCTCCACGTCGAGAGGAGCCAGTTGAGGTGGCTCAGGCATCTGGTTAGCATGCCTCCTGGACGTCTCCCTAGTGGGAGGAGGCCCAGGACATGATGGACGGACTATGTTTCTCTGCTGGCCTGGGAGCGCCTTGGGATTCCCCCCGGAGGAGCTGAGTCAGTAGGGAGACAGACGTCTGGGCCTCCCTACTGAAGCTGCTACCCCCGCGACCCGAACCCTAGAAAGTTCAGCGTCTGCCAGCGTTTAGGAGATTCTGGGACGTCAGGCGGACGCTGGATGAATCATCAAGGCGTGACAGGAGCCTAAGACTCAGAAAATGGCCAGATGTAAATAAGGGAATTAAAACCATCTATGGGGATCACGCCACCGAACCCGCCTACAAGCTCTGACTCCTGACTTCAGTATTTTTGGGCACTGCGTACGGCCCTGGATGTGGACGCAGTCAGGACAAACCGAATCGAAGCACCTCTGGACGCATCAACAGTCCACATGGAGAACTGCATCGAGCTAGCGTTGCTAGGAAAGATTAGCATAGCAGCACAGCTGGATGACGGACACCGTGTTACGTTAGAGGGAACCATGAGGAGGCTGATAAGAATCATTATTTTAATCTGCTTTTCACCAACGATTGAACTTTCTCTGGTTTACAGTAGTTTGATCAATACTGACTCAGTTTTAGGTTTTAAAGAGTGACCATCTATCCTCCTACTGTCTTTTTGTGTAAGTTATATATGTGTCTGTGTGTGAGAATTTTGAAAGGATTAAATTCTGACTGTTAAATGAAGGTTATTGTCTGGCTTTTCATTGGAGTATAAATACAGACATATATCAGCTCCACCAAGGTTATTTTTCACCAGCCGCCGTCGCCGCTGCTTGTTGCCTGAAAACTGTACCTTCTCACTTGGTACGTCGTCCAGAACTGAGCCTCTGGGTTTTTCTTCAACAGACAAACAAACGTCAGAAGAACATCTTCAAAATCTGTAATCAGAAAGCAGCTGCTCAGCCAATCACCAGGAGACGAGGAGGCGAAGCTTTAGCTCTGAAACACAAACCGACCCTCGGGGTCGTAGAAGACGTCCGAGCCGAGGACCAGGTCTTGTTTAGGAAGCAGCAGGAGTTCTGGGGTCACCTCCCCCCAGCTGAGGCCTAACACGGGGACGTCCTGCAGGCCGTTAGCCTCACAGCTCCGACCGCAGTTCTCCAGACACGCCGCCTTGTTGGAGCCGTCCGAAAGGATGACCTTGGCCCCACAGCGGGCAGCCACCACCCCAGGAAGACTCACACCGGCTCCCAGCTGGACACAGAGCAGAGCAGCTGGATGAGCTGCAACTGGTTTCACTGGATGTTACCTTTAACTTCCAGTCTGAGGTTCAGATAATAGAGCAAAAATATTAAAGGATTTTGGGAAAAAGTTCTTAAAAACCAAAATGGAGAAAAACCAAAAGCTTAGTTTATGTGACTGCAGCAAATTAAAAACATCAATGTTCATTTAATAATAATAATAATAATAATAATAATGAATTTTATTTATAATGCACTTTACATTTGATTTCAAATCTCAAAGTGCTACAAAACAAGTTTAAAAGACCATAACATTAAAAACAGAGTAAAAAGACAGTCATTAAAATCAATACATTAAAAGGCATACGTAGCCTTCAATGGAGCGTTTTAGGCTCAAGTCATGGAACCAGATTTAATTTAATGTTTTAATGATCTGTAAAAATTAAAAGTCTTCAATTTTTCAGAATTATTAGATTTAAGGCACAACTAAGGCTACGTTCACACTGCAGGCCTTAATGCTCAATTCCGATTTTTTTTGTGAAATCGGATTTTTTTGCGTGTCCGTTCATTCTTCCAAGTATATGCGACTTGTATGTGATCTACTGTGTGAACTGAAAGCGTTCAACCGAAGTGTCCCGCATGCGCACTCGAGGACGCGATGACGTTACATGTAGCAAGCGTCCTCAGTGTTTGCGGAAGTAAACATGACTCGTAATACCGCAGCGTATATTGCGTTCTTTAAGTTCTTCTCCAACAGGATCGGCCATTTCTCGGGAAATGTTTTCAAATATCCCCCGGTTCCGGTAAGACCCTTCGAGTTTGATCTGAATCGAGCTATCTTTCCAAATATGAATTAAGTCAGCAACCTCACTTTCTCTCCATTGACTGCTCTCTGTGTTATCTTTCGCCATGGTTGTTAGTTTTTCCCGCCTCCGCTTAGTAGGACGCAGATTAGTAACGTTTAGTAAAATTTGTCAAGTATCAATGACCTGTAGGTCGGATGAATGCGACCTGGCCGTACAGACACAGGTCGCATTTGAAAAGATCAGATACGTATCGGATTCAGGACCACATATCCAAGTGGCCTGGGTCGCATTTGAAAAAATCCGATCTGTGTCGTTCAGACTGTCATAAAAAGATCAGATACAGGTCACATATGGGCAAAAAAATCGGAATTGGGTCACTTCAGGCTGCAGTGTGAACGTAGCCTAAGAGAAATAAACTGAATTCTGTTTGGAAGGCGGCCCCAAAGCACCCAACTCAGATCCAAAGGGGCCAACTTGGCCCCAAAGGATCCAACTCAGCTCTGAGGGGGCCACCTTGGCCCCAAAGGTTCCAACTCAGCTCTAAAGAGGTCAACTTGGCCCCAAAGGATCCAACTTAGCACCAAAGGGGCCACCTTGGCGCCAAAGGATCCAACTCAGCTCTGAGGGGGCCACCTTGGCCCCAAAGAACCCAACTCAGCACCAAAGGGGCCAAATTGGCCCCAAAGGATCCAACTCAGCTCTGAGGGGGCCAAATTGGACCCCAAGGCACCCAACTCTGCACCAAAGGGGCCAACTCAGCTCCAAAGGGGCCAACTCAGCACCAAAGGGGCCAACTTGGCCCCAAAGGATCCAACTCAGCTTCTGAGGGGCCAACATGGCCCCAAAGGAGGCTCCAGAGAGGGTAAAGCTTGGTTTAGTGTTGATGAATCTGCAATGTCAGTACAGAGGGTTAGATGGAGACGGAGGGAAAAAGCCAAAAGAGGAACAAGAAGAAGGGATTCAAACCAGGAGCCTCATGTTGGGGCCCCGCATGAAACTCTGAGGAACTCAGAAAGTCCTGAACCAATGAATGTGAGCACAGTTCAGTTCCAGAGGCTGAAGGTCTAAAAAACTGATGGTCCATAAAGTTGTTTTTTTTAGAAGAATTGAAAACCAATAAAAATCTGTTTCTAGATTCCGTTTTTATCTAAAACTAGAAATTCTAACAAAACTTTCAACTTAAAATGAGATCATTGGAAGAGTTCAGCCATGTGTTTGAAAGCAATACTCACCTCCAACACCGCCCTGCCTCTCAGCTGGTCTCTGTGGAACCACAGGTACTGGGCCAGGACCACCGCACACGGCCACACGTACATCCCGTACTGAGGGTCCAGAACCTGCCGGAGGATCACAGTCAGAACTGCTGACAGAGTGACGCCTCCTTCTGAGGAGGATCTACTCCTCCTTCAGTCTGCAGTAGCATTCACACAGCTGGACATCTTGTGGTAGCTTCTATACCCTATATCTATACAGTAAAAACTCTCATTTATATGGCCTCTATTTCACATCAGGTTTTAAAGTTAAAAGCTGAATGAAAAACGTTTCATTTTCAGTCAGTTTACAGGAAATTTAGGCGAACCAATAATTCTGCCACAAGTTATTTCCCCAAAACATTCATTTAAACACAAATATTTTAACAATAAAGATCAGATTTAAAAAAAAAAAAATGGATGGATGGATGGATGGATGGATGGATGGATGGATGGATGGATGTCAGACCTCAGGGATGCAGACCCTCAGGCTCTCCTGTGGACTCTTCGGGTCTTTAAAGGTGAAGGCTCTACAGGCTCCGCCCCCTCTCGCGGCTCCGCGTGGCTCCATTATCTCAGAGCTCCTCTAGTGGCACCGGTCAGATTAAACACAGCTGATCTGAACTTCATTACATTTCCGAGGATCTTTGTGACAAGAAGCGTTTGGATCTTCTTCCGCGTTGCTCTAGTGGGTCCGCTCCTTATTAGTTAGCCGGTAATTGGTGCGGCTGAGAGGGGCTAGGAGGGGCTGGCAAGCGGTGAATGAACCCCTAACTCTAACAAGTCCTCTTGAAAAAAGACGAATCATGAATTAATAGTTTTTTTTCTCATCATGAACTCATGATAAAATGGCTTTGAGACAGCTGCCTCAGTAAATTATTTTATTTATTTCTTACTTATTTTCTTTAAAATATCTCTCGTAAAAGCGAATAATAGTTGATAAAAAAACGGCTAAATGCAAACTCCTCCTTCTCTTCACGCCGCACCGGCTGGTAAATAGGGCGGAGTGTCTGTTCACAAGGGCGGAAATCATGTTGCATTTATGTTTCCTCGGAAGATACATTGCTGATTGGACACAGATTTCATTCGCTGTTATTCTGACTTTATGGATTATCGTGCGAAATGCACGGTTTCAGCACCATCCACAGCACCAATAAAAAGAAATATATATATACGGTATATATATATATATATATATATATAGAAAGATGGCTTTCAGGAGTATTTGAACATTCCGATTTCCGCATCACACACTTAAACTAGCAGCCAATAATATCCATGGGCGGGAATACTGTGGTTGCGAGGTTAACCAATCAGCGCCCTGTATTATTGGTGCTCTGACGGCCAATCAGAAACCTTCTGCCTCAGTTAGGGGCGGGAGTTAGTTGCGTAATCTGTTTCACAAGCATTGTGTGTCCCGCTGTTAGCTTACATTAAACTTTAAAGGCGGTTATGTGGCTTTAAAGCTCAAATTTATAGTTTTATATTACAGACGTTCAGGAGCAGCTTCCGCTTATGTTGTTGTTTTGTGTTATTAAAGCGACGCTGTGACTGGGAGAGTGAATATAGCAGCCAGTTAGCTCCACTAGAGGCTAATCAGAAACAGCTAACCGGAAGAAAATGAACCATAAAAGTAAGAAGAGAATTAAAGAAGCGAAGCGGAGTGCCAGGCCAGAGCTTAAAGACTCCCTAGACTGGATAAAACACGGTTATTACGAGAACTTTGACGTGTCACACGGAACCGTGAAGGTAACGTTGATATTCCACGTTTCAGCTAACAGCAGCTAGCCACTGTAGCTTCCTGTGCATTTAGTCACGTAGACAATGTAGGAGCTGCTGTCAGAGCGCCCTCTGCTGGAGGAGTGGATCATTTACAGCAAAGCTTTGATCTTTAAGGCATTAAATTGATCTGTTGAGTAGAGCAGTGATACCTGATGATGCTTCAATGGCAGCATTATTGACCTGCAGCTCTGACTAACACGCTTTGACCTGTTTATATATGGACATTTCACGAATTGTCCCATAATTTAATATTTCATTGATTTCCACTTCAGTTAAATACTTCATTTGAAAATGTCTATAAGTTAGCAGTATTCATATTTAAGGTGATATATATATATATATATATTTCACAGGGCTAAATAGGGGTTAGTTTCTTTGTAATGGATTATGACTTAATTACTAATTAAGGGGTTAAAGTATAAATTGTAGCTATAGACTCACTGATTGGATTTTCAGTAATAATCTGTTAGTTCATGTCTTGGGATGACGGTTTATCTAAAAACAAAACATTAGCTTTTAGCAAATGGTTGGTATTGGTTATTAAGCTGATTACCTTTTTTACAGCCTCATATCCCTGTATTGTAATTTGATGAACTTTTATTAAAGTTTACATTAAATCTTACTTTTAAAGGGATTTGATTAAAAAACTCACACACAAAATGCTATAAACATTTTTAATGATCAGCTTTTTCTGCCAGTTTCTAAAGTCACCGGAAGGATAGTGAAAACTGAACATAAGCGTTGCATGACAACCATTAAATAGGCACAGAAACGCAGAGGGAGGTCAGTCAGCAATGCTGATGTCATCGGACAGTATGCGTCTCAGTGGGAGGTCGTCCTTTTTTCAGCAGGACTCCTGCAAATCTAGTAGAACTTTGATCGCAGGTTTGAAGAAATCGCTGCTGCTGGAAAAGTTGATTCCTCTGTTTTTCAGCAGGTTGTCAAACATTTGAGACCTTTTGGGTTTTTTATTCAGGACTGCAGATAAATCTTCACCAATCTGCTGCTGAACCAATGCTTCGCATTTCATATCATTTTAAACAATCACAGGAACAGTTTAAGTGTTTCAGGTTGTCAGCGCATTTGGTGCTGTTAGTGAAAACTTCCTTTATGAATTTAGTCCCATTGACAGTAAGAGGGATTTTTTTCCCGCTTTTCAATATATCAATGGAATAAACACAATTTTAGTCATTTTTGGCCAAAGTTCATTTAATTGTGCTACAGGAAATAATTTTTGAGAAAAAAAGTCATCAGCCTACTGGTTATATTTGCCTTAAACATCCAGAGTTCATTTAAGATCGTCTCGATCAGTCCTTCCCAACCTTTTTTGACTTGTTTGGCTATTTAATCAGACCATCAGTGCCTGCTTGCCCAAACATGTTGGTTTTCAAAACTAGAAATTTCAACTGATTATATAAAAATAAAAAAAAAAATTGAATCTCCTTAACTTTAACATTTAATGCTGAGACATTTTATTCTTTTCAATTAGAGTAAAAAAACATAAATACGTTGCCTGGAGAGTGAATAAGTACAGAAGTATATAAAAGATCAAAACAAGTTACAAATGGTGTAAATCACACCATCATGACGATTTGATTCAGTATCAATTTCCTGACTCAGGAATTCGATTATTTTCGATACTCAAGAATACACCAAGATATGATTTGAATAATTGGTCCATTTTTTCTATTTTACAGGCTAAACTGCCCTATTTTATTGTATTTATTAAACTGTGAAATAAAATATTAAATGTTTTCACATAGCCCCTGCAATGCATTGGTGGACCACTAGGGGCGCTAATACCCCTGGTTGGGATTCACTATTCTAGAAAACAAAATAAAACACAGTTCAGCTGATTCTACATTCATTCATTTAAACTGAATTGATGAGCATCTTTACTGAACTTATATCAGGGTTCCCAATATAAAAAAAAAATTATTATAAAATTTATTTCAAAGCTTATTATTTTATTCTACATGTAATTATTAAATTAACTAAATTCTTAAATAGGTCAAATTTAGAACAGATTTTTGTTTCCTTCCTGTTCCAGGACAACGTGGAGCGGGTGGATGCCCTCCGTCTTTCCCCAGAGGAGTTCATCTCGCGCTTCGAGCGGCCCTACAAACCCGTCGTCCTCCTGAACTGTCAGGAGAGCTGGCCCGCTCGCGAGAAATGGACTCTGGAGCGCCTCAAACGCAAATACCGAAACCAGAAGTTCAAATGTGGGGAGGACAACGACGGCTACTCCGTGAAGATGAAGATGAAGTACTACGTGGAATACCTGGAGTCCACCAAAGACGACAGCCCGCTCTACATCTTCGACAGCAGCTACGGCGAGCACGCCAAGAGGCGGAAGCTGCTGGAGGACTACGAGGTGCCGCTGTTCTTCAGGGACGACCTGTTCCAGTTTGCAGGGGAGAAACGGAGGCCTCCTTACAGGTTCTGACCTCCTCTGAGCGTCCGGCCGCCGCCCAGCCGCCCGTGGTTTAAACTCACCCCCTCGCTCTTCCCTCTGCAGGTGGTTCGTGATGGGTCCGGGACGCTCCGGCACCGGCATCCACATCGACCCGCTCGGTACCAGCGCCTGGAACGCTCTGGTTCAGGGCCACAAGAGGTGGTGCCTGTTCCCCACCAACACGCCGCGGGAGCTGATCAAAGTGAGCCGGGAGGACGGGGGGAACCAGCAGGACGAGGCTATCACCTGGTTCAGCGTGATCTACCCCCGGACCCAGCAGCCCACCTGGCCTCAGGAGTTCAGACCGCTGGAGATCCTGCAGAGGCCCGGGGAGACCGTGTTCGTTCCGGGTCAGTACCAGAACCAGGTCCGGTGCCGCTGTCATGGTCCAGAACCTCAGTAGATGTGAACCGTTGTAGAGCGACCAAACCAAACATCGCAATATATTTGGGCTATAATCACGATACACGATATTTATAAACCATATCTTTAGTTTACCTTAAGAAGTAGAAAATTGCTCAGATAAACTCAAACTTCTGGTTTCAAATTTAAAACTTTTTTAGTTTAAGCAGCTCAGTCCTTTCTGCCATGATGAGTCGCACCTTTTTGTTCCAAAAATACCAACAAACGCCGCCGGTAGATCCCACTGCGCTCGATTTATTCACTGATTGCTGATCGCCTGCTGGTGGCACAGGGTGGAATGAAGCCACCGGCCGCCATATTGGTACTCCCTAGTTTGACTGGTCGCAGTGTAAACAATCGGTGCGCTGCAGCATCGAACAACCAGGATGTTCTCATTTTCAGGGAGACTGAAGACTTTTAAAATAAAGATAAATGCATCAGTTTGACACAGACTGGCTGCTTCACAGCATCAGTAGATTAACTTTAACTTAAAATAAAAAAAATAGATCCATCACATTGAAGAGTCATTATGAAGTCAATAAATCATTTAATAAAACATTTATATAAATCCATCACAATAAAATGAATATGCTAATCGAGCAGAATAATACAGATGAGCCAAAAGTGATAAATTGATGATCTGCCTGTAATAAAGATGGATTGATTACATCATCGTAATTACATATAGTTTAATGATTTCACATCCAGACTGAATTACTCCTACATGTTAATATTAATGCTGTAGTACTTTCCTATTAGCACATTGTGCATGAATGATGCCATATATTGTCTCTGCATTAGCCTTTAGAGTCGTAGGGAAATCATAATTAAATGTTAAATCATTCTGGCTTAAACATGTTTATAAATGTTATCTTTATCAGACGGTTTTTAAAAAATCCTGTCCTAAAATCTGTGTTTTTTCCGTTATCTTCTGTAGGCCAGTTAGTTCTACGTCAGCCTGAACACCTAAATTCGGCCAATCATATATCAACAGTCATCTGTCACCGTCGGCTTCAGAGGAATAAAAGTCCTCAAAGATTATATTTACCTCCTGCTTTGTTGTCCAGGACAGAATCAGACGGAGCTTTGCTCAGCAGGGACTTTATGTCATTATCTGCTCACATAAAGATCACATTTTTATACGGATGGATTTGGCCTTTTTCTCTTGTTCTTATATTAAAAACATCAAAACAAAAACAAGCAATAAACTGATCAATAATTATTGGACCGAATAGAAAGACTGATTGGTGTGATTTTCTATTAACCAGATCAGATCTTCTGGTTTCTGACTGGATTCTCTCCAGATGTTCATTTCTCTCCATGGAAGAACCAGAAGGTTCCCATCTAGGAGCTTCATCTCTACGCTGTGGGGTTGATTCAGTGTTTTGGTTTTGTTTGTAGGTGGATGGTGGCACGTCGTCCTCAACTTGGACACGACGATCGCCGTCACTCAGAACTTTGCCAGCACCACTAACTTCCCCATCGTTTGGCACAAAACCGTCCGAGGGCGACCCAAACTGTCCAGGAAGTGGTACCGGTAAGAGACGCAGCAGCAAACATGACTGAATCAATCGCCGTTTCTCTGTACCTGTGCGTCCTCGTGAAACGTCATCCTCCTCAGCCCTAGCACTGTTCCTATTCACTAGAATAGCAGACTGAGAACGGACAAAGTCCCTGGATGTTATTCTGGCCCCTCCCTCTTTACCCAGCATGCATCAGAGCAGACCTGTCCGTTCTCCAGACTGACAGCTGTCCCAGCATGCACTGCGGCAGCAGCAGCTTCCAGGTTAGCGCTCACAGAGCTCAGAGGATTAAGTTAAAAGTTCTCTTTTCTGCTGCTGTTGTTCAATAAAAGTTTGTTTTAAGATCATTTGAGGCGAGAATATTAAACTTTAAGCTTCACTATACGGAACATTTACTGATTTAGTGCGTAAGTTAAAAAAAGCTACAGTGTTCAGAGGACTGCCTCAACCAGCGTAGCTCCGAGGCTAACAGCAGCCGGGGCTAACGTTAGCCCATCCGCAGCGGCCAGGGCTAACATAAAAACTAGCTTTAAATATGGTGATGTCATCAGTACACTTCTATTCTAATTGACCCAGATCTATGCTGCATGCTCCCGTTCTCCCAGAGTCCAAACTTTCCTGGGTTCATGTCAGGAACAGACTTGGAGAGAACACGAGTCTGTACTCATGTTCTAGTGAAACAGAAATTAGTTCCATTAGTATTTTTAGTTTAGTTTCAAGTATTTCATTGAGATTTTTACGTATTTCAGATTTTATTTTTTTAAATTTTGTTTAGATTTAGTTTATTTTAAAAAGCTTTAATTTTTTTTCTCGTTTTTTCTAATACAATAATAAAGACTAATCAAAATGACAAATGTAGAATATTGTTGGAGCCAGAGGTGTGTGATGCTGTTTTCACATCATTGTGAGGACGCTTTCTAGCCTGATAAACCAGATTAAACCTGAGATTAAATGTGTAATCTAGTCTGGCCTCGATGAATGAGACATCGGAAGATTGATGATGAGATCAACCCGTTGTTTTTCAAACCATGTCTGTTCCTATTGGCCAACGCTCTGACCAATGAGAGCCACTGACTGTGACGTAGGAAGCATGAATGTAAACAATCAGCCTGTCAGTAAAACGGCGAATACGTCCTTCTTAAAACTGAACGAGCGTAGAGCCTCTTCCTGCTCACGTTTCAACGAAAACCCAAAGTCTGATCCTTCTCCTGGTTTGGGTTCGGTTTGAACCGGATCCTCTGAGCTCCGTTTGGGTTTTCCTTCATCTCAGTTCTGATCATCTTCCTTCCAATCAGTCGATAAAACCGCGATTCTGCTGGAGTTTCTTCTTCTGCTGTAGACCTGAAACCCGTTTGGACCTTTGCAGGGTTCTAAAGCAGGAGCGTCCGGACCTGGCGGCGCTGGCAGACAAGGTGGACCTTCAGGAGTCGACGGGCATCGCGTCCGACAGCTCCAGTGACTCCTCATCCTCGTCTTCGTCCAGCTCATCCGACTCGGATTCTGATGTGAGACCAGAACCGCAGCGTGTTTTGGACTCTGGCTGAATGAGTTTCCGGTTCTGAGCGTCTGTGACCTTTCTGTCCTGCAGGGGGAGTCGGGCTCCGAAGGCGAAGCCTCGTCCCACCGCAGGAAGAAGAGGCGGACCTGCGGCATGACGGCCAACGGAGACACCAGCAGCCAGGACGACTGCGCCAGCAAGGAGCGCTGCTCGTCACGGTGACCTGCGGGGGGGGGGTCCTGCTGGCTGAGGAGATAACGGGCGGGGGGGAGATAAGGGGGGTCCTAGGGGCCCGCTAGTCGCCTATAAACCCACAACCACTGTGCTTCTAACTGTTATCATGTTTGTTCCTCTGAGAGGACGGGGTGGGGGGGCGACCCGCTTTGCTCCGAGGTTCTGCTGGTACCGCGGTGGTATCTGGATGGCGAGGCCAGAAACCAGACAATGAGCAGAACCCTGGTTCTGGTTCTGGTTCTGGGAGGAACGTTTTCAGGACGCTCAGTTTCTTCTGGAAAGAGTCTGTTTTCTGACTGTCGGGTCTATTTCCTGGACAAACCGCCAAAATAAAAGCCTTAAGATGTTCTGGTGTTTGTGTCTGCACAGGTTCTGTTCATGTTCTGTTCACTTTTTAAAGTCTCGATGAATTAAATGAATAAATATTTGAATCTAATGTTTGGTCAAATCGTCATTAAATGAACATTCTGGCCTTCCTGTTCTAATGATGATGATGATGATGGTCGGCTGCCCATCATCACATTGATCCCGGTCGCTGTCACTCATCTTATTTTGACAGGAAGGATTTTGATTTATAAGCTTTAGAGCAGGGGTCACCAAGGTGGTGCCCCCATGGGCACCAAGGGGCCCTCAGGGACAACATGGGGGGCCCTCAGCATCTTTTGAAAAGAGAACAATTCACCAGTCGACTAAATCTGAAATGTTATTTTTTACTGAAGCTCTTATTTTGAAGCATTTATGAAGCATTTTATCATATCAATAAATTAAAACATTTGAGGATTTATATGGATTTCATAATGAGAATATCTAAAAGCAAATAAAAAATGAAAAGAAACAACAGAAATATGTTTATTATCTATGAAGTTCAGGTGAACGCCGACTCCTCTAGTTCATAGGTCAGTATTGGTAGCCCGTCCTATGACTCAGTACCCATAAAGTAGCCCTCAGCCTTAAAAAAGTTGGTGACCCCTGCTTTAGAGATTAACTCTTGTGTTAAACCGGGTTCTGAAATCAAACTTTAATAATTACTGATTGTTAACAGGAGGGTTTATTTAGGTCAGAGGTTCCTAAACAGCTTTTACCTTTAATTCCAACAAACCATTCAGAGTTTCAGTCTGGCTTTAGAGCTCATCATAGCACTGAAACAGCTCTGGTGAAAGTCACTAATGATATTCTCATGGCCTCAGATAATGGACTTGTATCTGTTGGATCTCAGTGCTGCATTTGATCCAGTTGATCATAATATTCTTTTAGAAAGACTTGAATATTTTGTTGGAATTAAAGGAACAGCTCTAGACTGGTTTAAATCTTATATATCTGATAGAATTCAGTTTGTTCATGTTAATGATAGATCTTCCTCATGCTCAAAGGTTACCTGTGGAGTACCACAGGGATCAGTGCTAGGACCAATTCTCTTTACTTTATACATGCTCCCAATAGATAGAATTATTAGACAGCATGGGATTAATTTCCACTGTTATGCTGATGATACCCAGCTATATCTGTCTATAATCCAGATGAAGCTAACCCATTACATAGATTACAGGCCTGTCTGAAGACATAAAAACCTGGATGACTCTTAACTTTCTGCTTCTGAATGCAGACAAAACAGAAGTTATAGTCTTTGAAAAGCTGATTAGTCAGTCACTTCATTTGGATGGGATTAAACTGATCCGGTCTGCAGAGAAGGTGATTGGCTGCAAGCTTCCATCTCTCCAGGATGTGCACGCCTCCAGGACTCTGAGGCCTGCAGGGAGGATTGTGGCTGATCCCTCCCACCCAGCCACAAACTATTTCATCCTCTTCCCTCTGGCAGGAGGCTGCGCTCCATCAGGACCAAAACCTCCCGTTCTTCCCATCCGCTACCAGCCTGATCAGCAGAGACCCCCGTCACCCTGACTCTGCCTCCCTCCCTCCCCCCTTCAGGGCCAAACCTACTCAGCAATAAATGTGATTCTGATCAACTTTTATTGTTGGGACAGTTTTAGAACCTAAATATAAAAAAAGGGGAGAATTATTTTGTTTTTGGCAGGAAGAGAAAGCATAAAAACAGAAAACAATTGAAAAGATAAATAAACATTAGATCCTTGGTCAGATCTAAAGTTAAAAAATGTAGTGAAAAAAACACTACATTTTTATTTAATATACTTTTATTAGATGTTATTTTCTAAAGTTTATAATCAGCATAAAGGTCTGTCACCGCCAGAACACCCTGATCCTCACCTTGATATTTATGTCAGGCTCTTATTTTGAAGCTCCTTATTTTATTTGAGGCACTTTTTTTGAAGCTCCTCTCTTTATATAAGTCTGTTATTTTGCAACTCTTGTCTTTATTTGCAGCTACTTTCTTTATTTAAAGCTCTTATTTTGAAGCTCCTGTCCTTATTTGAAGCTCTTATTTTGAAGCTGTCGGTCAGCTGTTGGGGCAGAGCGCGCCTCCGCGCCGCTCTCAGTGTGCGCGTTCACAGCCGGATCAGCTCCTCTTCAGCGCAGACCGGAGTCCACCTGGAACCAGAACCATGGATCTGGACCTGACCGTCATCCTCCCAGCCTTCCTCTTCACGGCGCTCGCGCTTTATGTGGCTTCATCGCTGCTCAGCAGGAAGCCTGGTCCACCCTCCTCTTCCTCAGCCCGGACCAACAAACCCAAAGTGGGATGCGGAGCCGGAGACCTCTGTCCAGAACCAGAACCAGAACCAGCAGAGAAGAACCGGACCGGTTCGAACCTGAAGGTGGGGACAGTTTTTGTTCTTTGGTTTAAAGTTTGATTCATTTAATTTATATCAACATAAAAGTGAACAAAGTTCAGATTATTTATTTCTATCTGGGTTTGGCAGAAAAGACCGTTTTATTTACAATAAATGTCAAAAATAGTAAAATAATTAATTAGTTGCTGTTGGTTATATTAATTTAAACTCTTTGGGTCAGTGGATGAAAACGTGTCAGGGAAACATTTCAAAATAAAAGCCTTGGAGGGGTCATCCTGACTGATGGCTGCTCTGTCAGAGGCCCACCGTGTTCCAGCATCAAATCCCTGAAACATCTCAGACAGAAGAACATTTTGGTGGATCCTGACCTGGATCTACTGCTCCTCCCTGCCTGGTCCAGACAACAGGGGCGGAGCTAGATGGGGGGCCAGAGGGGGCCATGGCCACAATAAGCGAACCATTGGCCACCTCTACCATTGTTTTTTTCCCTCTAATACAGACGGTGGCAGCAGTAATACTCTTAAGGGGAATGTTCAAACTTATCATTTTAATTTTTAATGTATTAACAATTACTTGACAACTAAAATGCTGTGCTTATTTATACACAACAATATACTAACATTAAAGTTAATATATACAGAAATAATGCTCTTTTCTGAACTAAATTTTGTGTTATATTTAATCCAGTTTATTTCTATAGCTCCAATTCACATCATGTCATCTCAGGTCACTTTATAGATCCAGATCATCCAGTCAGATTGATTCAAAGTTTTCTGTCTAAGGAAAACCAGCTGATTGCATCGACTCATTGACTCTTCAGCAATCCCTCACACTAAGCATGCTTGTAGCGACAGTGGAGAGGAAAAACTCCCTTTGAACAGGTAGAAACCTCCAGCAGAACCAGGCTCAGTGTGAGCGGCCATCTGCTGAGGCCCACTGGGGTTCAAGGAGACAGAAGCAGACATAGAAAAAGAAGCATAGATACAAAAGGCAACTGTCAACCAGCTCCACAGGCGTCCAGGAAACACACAGCCAGGCAGACGAGCTCCGAGCCAGCTCCCATGTCAGAGGATGAAGAGAGCACATCCAGTTAGTCACAGTCAGAGAAACAGGACTACACTGGAAAACAGGCCAAGCTCCAACATCTAGAAACAAAGGTGTTGATGGAAGCAGCACAGCTGATATTTCTCTCCAGGATGGAGTCACAGCCAAACAGGAACAGACCAGATGAAGCTACTATGAGAAAAAGCAGAGAGAGCAGAACGTTAGAGAATGAACTAACAGATTCTGCAGAGTGGGAGAATAGAGATAGAATGAAGCAGAATGATGAAAAAGGGGTCCCTATGTCCTCCAGCAGTCTAAGCCTATAGCAGCAGAACTATAGAGATAGCTCAGGGTGTATATAGGGGTAAAGAAAAAAATGTCTGTCTCTGCATGTCATCTAGGGTTCTTCAGTGAAATCAAAGATTAATAACTACTTTAATAACTTCAAAATAAAGTTAATGTAGATATTAGTGCACGTCAAGATTAATTTTTTGCAAAACAATTTTGGATAAAAGTAGGTCAGTAATGACAATGAAAAGATGTTCGCCCCAGAAGTTTAGTCCTCTACACCTTTAATTCAGACAGAATGGATGTTTAAATAAATGTTAGCAAAGGCTGTAGGGAATTATAATTTATCTTTATTTAGAAAATATGGATGTTCTGCTGGTTCCTGTTGGAACAGAGTAGATTGACCCTGAGGTTCTGTCCGATCCGCTTTCAGCAGAAAGAAAAACTGTGATAAACTTCCCAGATCTCTCTGAGAATCACCTCTCTGCCTCGGTCACCATGGAAACCGTCCGACAGAGTTTATTGCTGCGATTTTCTTTTCTTTATACATAGATTTCATTATAAACATTCTCTATCTGTTCTGGTTCTAGATGCTGCACAGACTCTGATCAGACTCTCTCTGATCTGCTCATCCTGTCTAGTCGGAGCCTCTCTATACGCAGTCAGTGTAGCATGAAAAACATCGGATCGGAGGTTAAAAAATCGTCCCAACCGCTGAGTTCAGGCCTTAAAGACTCAAATCTGGTTTAAACCTGTTTGACATTTTGTCCTTTTTATTGTTATCTAACAATAAAATAATGAGGCTCTTATTTAGAAAAGTAGCTGAGAGTTTTAATCTGAAAGTCCACATTTAAACTTCATGTTCACGCACATCATTTATTAATAGTGACAGTTATATTTATTTAATTCTTTAGAACCTAATTTTTTGCAGATAGATTTTTATAAAACATTTTAATTTCTCATTTCCAATCAGATTTTTATATCAATAATATAAAATAAAAATAGAGAAGAAAAAACAGCTTATAAGAACAATAACAATAAAGAAGTTAAATAAATATCAGAATTATAAATAGATTCTTTTATTGTTTTAGGTTTGTTTTATGAATCTCAGAACTGGAGTTAAATTGGACCCAATAGAACCTTGGAGCAGAACCGGACTGATCTAAACCAGGTTCAGATCCAGAGGCCCAGGCATGGAAACCGGGTCAGCGGCTCCGGGTTCCTGATCAGAATCAGAGCCTCAGCTCAGATGGCCCCCCCCCGGGGGCCCCTCAGCCTAAATAAGGCAGAGCAGATAAGGCAGCAGGTCGGGTCCATGTTTTCCTCCTGACTCAGAACCAGAATGGCCTCCATCCTCATTCCTGGGGAATTAGTAACGGCTCGGCGGGGCCGCAGCGCTCCATCTATGGACATGTGAGCCACTCAGTGAGGAGGAACCGCCTTTGGGTCGGAAGGTTCTGACTCAGTTTGGACCTGAGCTGAGGAGGTTCTGCTTTTATTTATCATCCAACTCAGAACGGATCTGATCTTCTGAAGGGTTCAATGAAACATGGAGGCTCAGAAGTATTCATACCCCCCCAGTTCTGGACCCGGGTCCAGTTGGTTCATCCCATTGCTTCATGCTACATATCCCCACCCCAGCATGATGCCGCCACCACCATGCTCAGCCGCTGCCTCCATCTCCATGCTTCTGGTCCCTGAGTCTGAGGGTTCCTGGTGGGATTATGAGGTTCTGGTACCTTCAGAACTGTCTGCTGATGGATTTCTGTGATTGGAAGTCGTGCGGTTCTGTCATGGTTCCCTGTGGTTCTGAGGTCCATGGTGGTTCTGTTAGCCAGGAGGTTTTTAGAAGCGGGTCCAGCTGCTCTCGGTCTGGTTGGGTTAATCCCCTCTGACCCCACTCTGAAGGCATTTCCTCTCATCTGCCTGTCCTGCCAGCTAGCCGGTCCTCAGCAGCTGCTGGACGCTCACAGCTCCCAACAATGGCCTCAGCTAACCCCCCCCATCCCGGCGGTGACCGCATCAGGCGCCACACCCCTCCGCCTCCGTCCCGGTTGGTTCTGTTCCAGGCTGAGAGGGAAGCTGCTGCTGGAACCGCCGCCGTCAGACATGGAGGCGGAGTCAGAGGCTGAGAGCTGCTGGAACAAAGACGCTTTTCAGATCCACGACCTTTATGGTCCAAAGAGCCGTTATCTCCAGAACAAACCGTCTGTTTCTGCTCATGGAGACCAAAGAAAAACTTCCAGGATTTTATTCTTTGTTTATGAGAAAGAAGAAAAGAAAAAAATCTACTTTAAACCAAATAAAAACACCAAGTTTCCACCTTTAACAATAAAAGGATGAAGCTGAAAGAAGCTCTTATTCATTAACCCAGCATCATCATCATCATCAGCAGCATCATCAGCATCATCATCATCATCATCATCATCATCAGCATCATCATCATGGCGTGTTTAGAAGGATGATCATGTAACACCATGATGGAAAGTCATCAGCAATGACCTCAGAGCAACTGCTGCTAGAGATTGTGGGTCAAAGGTCAGCTCCCAAATATCCTGAGTTCAGGGCTGTGAGCAAACGTCCACCCTGACCTCTGACCTCTGACCTCTGCATACTATATAGTGAACTTTATCGTGAACTCAGTTAACTGACTGTTTGGATCACTAGTTGTCGCTCCTCCACCGCCGCGCACAGCGCCGCAGCCATCTTTGTTAGATTACACGATTGGTTGGACGAGTGGGGTGGCCGGTGGGGGGGCCACTGGAGTGGCCACTGGGGTGGCCAGTGGGGTGGCCAGTGGGGTGGCCAGTGGGGTGGTCAGTGGGGTGGCTGGTTGGGTTGCCACCCTTTGCGACCCCCTGGTGGCACCACTGCCATCGTGGTTCCCCAGCCTCTGACCGTTAGCTCTGATGAAGGAGGATCTGGGACGGTTTTAGGTAAATCTGGGACATGCTGTCCTCCATTCTGACCCGGATTATCTGGGTTCTCCTTCAGGCTCCGTCCAGCCCTGGTTCTGTTCCTCTGTTTAAAGGATTTTAATCTGCTGCAGTTTATAGATTTAGAGATTTTTTCCAGAATATTTCAGCTGGAGCTGAAACTGGGGTTTGGTTCCGGCTAAAGTCCAAAGTCCTGCTGTTCTGTTGGAAACAGAACTGGTCTGGTTTCTACGAGTCCAATGGTAACTCTGTTAACTGTCTGTCTCTCCAGGCTGTTCCACAACCAGAACCAGCCGTCAAACAGGGAACCGCTCAAGAAGCTTTTCCAGAACCAATACGGACACAGGAATCTTCTCCAGACCCAGTAGAAGCTGCAGCACCTTTCCAAGACGCAGCTAAAGAACCAGAACTTATTACAGAACCGGGTAAAGAAACAGAACCTGCTAAGGGGAGAGAAGGAGAACCGGAATCCTTTCCAGAACTGATTGCGGATCAGAACCTTGTCCCTGAAACATTAACCGCTCTAGAAGCAGCTCCAGAACCGGCTCCAGGACCTGGTCCAGGACCTGGTCCAGTCACAGGAAGTCTAGTAGAAGCATCTGTTGTTCCAGAACCACCTGCAGCATCAGAATCCAGTCCTGTTCCAGAACCAGTCAGGCTGAATGATCCAGTTTTTAAGGAACCAGAACCTGAAGTTGTCCAACAGCCAAAGACTGAAGAAGAGAAAGTTGATGGAATGGAGTCAGAACCAGTACCTGAAACCGTCTCTGAACCCACTGGGCCTGCTGAAGAACCAGAACCAGAACCAGAGGCTCCTCTGAAAGGTGAGATGTTCTGCTGGCTCCATCTCTGCTGTTTAATTATCAGTTTGTTTGTTCTGATAAGTCTAAACCTTAAAGATGTTGGTTTTATTCAGCTGAAGCTTCATTAAAACGGATAAAAATATGTTAAAGTTAAATAAATATCATCTGTTTCATCTTCTTTTTTTACTATTTTTAAATATGAGATGTTCTAATCGACATAAAATGATTTAAAATCTAAATGAACAGATTGAGGAATATTTCTGTGAGCTCTGCTCTGGCAGCAGGCGGCGCGCAGCTGACAGCAGCAGATAAGGTTCCTCTGCAGGAGCAGAGTTCAGCCTCTGCAGCCCCTCAGGATGAAAAGCTCCTCCCACCATCAGGGTGGAGCTCATGCTGTGGGGAGCATGATGGCGGAGAGCGGCGGCTGGTGTTTATCTTAAAGGTCCAGCTGTGCAGAGCGAGCTGCATGCAAAGGGCCAGTTTACTCCTAAAGCACAACAGCTCAACATGAAAATAAATATAAAATAAAAGCAGCTGTTCATTAAATCAAACATTTAGCCTTAAAATAATGATTCCTCAGTTAAAAGTTTAAAGGAAAAGTTTCGGTCAGCCAGGAATAATCAATGGATCATTATTTATACCTAAAACTAATACATTCAGGTTGATTTAATAACTTTATCATTAATCGATAAAAAAATAACAACAATCATTTTCATTGTGATCAGTCTAGGAGCGGCCATTTTTGCCCAAATCTAGTAGCCCCTCCCTCCTGCCATCTTCCAGCAGTGACGTCACGGTGCGGTAAGCCTAGCGCCATTCTCCCCGCTTTCCAAGCTAAATCAATGGGAACTACTAGACACATCTGCAATCAACAACAATTATTGAAGATTTCCAGAGGACTTCACCATTGAAATTCACCAGAGCTATAGTGAAGATCAATTCAGTGTGGATCATGGAACCATTTAAATGTGGTCAGGGCGGTGGGTCTGTTTCAGTCTGGAGGGGATGGAAAACCAGCTTCCTGTCTGAGAAAAGATGAAACCTGAGCTGAGCAGCAGGATGACCTCTGGTTCTCACTCTGACCTCCCGTTCCAGATGTTGCTCCAGCTGCAGATCAGCCTGAGATTGTTGCACAAGGTGAACCCAGCAGGATGGAGGCGCTGATGCAGGAGGAGGAGGTGCAGGTGGAGCAGAGGTGAGTAACCAGGTCAGAGAAACAGGACTACACTGGAAAACAGGCCAAGCTCCAACATCTAGAAACAAAGGTGTTGATGGCAGCAGCACAGCTGATATTTCTCTCCAGGATGGAGTCACAGCCAAACAGGAACAGACCAGATGAAGCTACTATGAGAAAAAGCAGAGAGAGCAGAACGTTAGAGATTGAACTAACAGATTCTGCAGAGTGGGAGAATAGAGATAGAATGAAGCAGAATGATGAAAAAGGGGTCCCTATGTCCTCCAGCAGTCTAAGCCTATAGCAGCAGAACTATAGAGATAGCTCAGGATAACCTGAGCCACTCTAACTAGAAGCTTTATCAAAAAGGAAAGTTTTAAGCCTAGCCTTAAAAGTAGACAGGGTGTCTGCCTCACGGACTAAAACTGGTAGTTGGTTCCACAGGAGAGGAGCCTGATAACTAAAAGATCTGCCTCCCATTCTACTTTTAGAAATTCTAGGAACCACTAGTAAACCTGCAGATTGAGAGCGAAGTGCTCTGTTAGGAACATAAGGAACAATCAGAACTTTTAACGCTCAGCTGGGGAAACGTTTCGGGTCGATGAGGAAAGCTTCTGTTGATCGGATCCGATCAGAAGTTCTGAAGAGGGGAACCTGTTTCGGTGCGGATGGAGGGCCCGGTTCTGCAGCTCAGACTGAGAATAAATGGTGTCAAACTGAATCCGCCTCCTGGATGGAAACGCCGCCTGAGCTCAGAAACCTTCTGGGAGCTTCGCTGGAGGAGATCCGATCGGATCATTTGGATCAGAACCAGATGGAAATGATCACTGCAGGATGTAGAACAGTTCTGAAGGCGTCTAACCTCAAAGACATGATCAGAACCTTAGACCGGGTCAGAACTTTAGACCGACTCAGAACCTTAGACCGGGTCAGAACCTTAGACTGATTCAGAACCTTAGACTGGGTCAGAACCTTAGACCGGGTCAGAACTTTAGACTGGGTCAGAACTTTAGACTAATTCAGAACCTTAGACCGGGTCAGAACCTTAGACCGGGTCAGAACCTTAGACTGATTCAGAACCTTAGACAGGGTCAGAACCTTAGACCGGGTCAGAACCTTAGAACAGGTCAGAACTTTAGACCGGGTCAGAACCTTAGAACAGGTCAGAACTTTAGACCGGGTCAGAACCTTAGACCGGGTCAGAACCTTTCCTCTAGCTGAAGCTGGAGCTCGGTTCCACCCCTCGGTGCTTGTCTCATCAGAACCAACATGGCCGCCGCTGCAGGCTCTGTCTGACCCACTGAACCTCTGTCGTTGTAGGATAGAGCTAACCTCTGATCTGACCCGTCTGTGAGGTAAGGTGGTGGTTCTGTTCGACCCGGTGAGCCCGGCCCGCCTGCAGCGAGGACAGTCAGACGTTCACCGATGTTCTGATTCACCAGAACCAGCAGAACTTTAAACCAAAGATCATGAGGAAAGAATCAAAGTTTTTCTTTTTATTTGGATTCTTTGGTTTAGATTCAGTCTTTTTAACTTTAAAATGTTTGTTTTAGAGAATTAATTAACATTTATCTGGTGGTTGATTTTATTTATGATTTATTTTCAGTATTTAATATTTATAATTTAAAACCAGACGGATTTAGGAAACATGAGGAGATGAATCATCTGCTCCATCTGGACTCTACAGCCATAAAGTCAGGAAATCTGGATCAGAACATCAGACCTGAACGTCTGTCTGTCCTCACCGAGGAAGCTCCGCCCCCTCC